CAGCGCCCCGCCCGCCCCGCCCAGTCGACCCACGCCCCTCATTTGCATGTTACACCACGCCCCTGGCTCGCGGCTCCCGCGTTCTTAAGGGGGTCTGGCGCTTAAGGTGGAGCAGCGCTGGCATCCTCCCCAGCCGCTCCCTAGCCTTTATGCCCGCTGGCCCTCGGGTGGGATACCGCTCTCCCACAGACCCTACCTGCTCTCCGGGAGGCGCCCTTCCACTTCCACAGAATGGCCTTGCATGGCTGCACCTTCCCTGTCCCAAAAAAGCCTGCAGCTCAAGGCTGGTGGTCCTTCTCATCTGGAAGCAGCACTGTCTTGTGCTCAAGGTGAAAGAAAAATGCTTTTACTGGTTGTCCAAAGAAAAGGGGAACCTAAGGGCCTAGGAGTTGGGCCTGGCCTGAGCTTTTTGCTGACCTTGGCCCAAGGCCAGAAGTAAGTTCCCCAACCACAGTCCAGAAGCTTCCTTAGCTCCTTGGTTGCCTAGGGTGGAGAGGCAAACTGGGAAACTAAGGATATACCATGCTTGTCATTAAAGGGGCTCATCACCTCTCTTCCCATTTAGGCAGCAAATATTAAGCACCCCGACTGTATGCCCAGCAGGTGCTTCAGGCCCTGACCTATAAGCCAAATGCCCCTGCCCCCTCGATTTACCGACTGTAAGGCCAGACTGTAAGGCAGTCTGTGCAGACTAGAAAACAGACAACAAACAAGTAAGCATGGTTTTTAAAAATCCTCTTAACCACCCTAAGAAGTAGTGTTATTATGAAGAATTGCATCTAGGCACAAATCAGGGTCCTCGGGCCCTCCCTGTTGGCGCAGCGGGTTAAAGCACTGCACTATGAAGCTTAAGCCACTTCCTCATGAGTTCGATTCCCGCCTGCCCCCAGGAGTCCACATGGTGAGGCAGACCTCTCCTGGCCCGCCCACTGCTCACCTCAGCAGTGTAAGTCGTCGATCTGCCTGTTCTGCTCCCCACTCTGTCTCTGGTGAAGCCTCTCACCCTACGCATCTCTGGCCTGTACCCCAGTTCTATATGAATAAATAAATCTTAAAAAAAAAAAAAAATCAGGGTCCTCCCAGATAATCACCTTAGGAGCAGACTTGTATGACTTTGGTAAGCTTAGTTGCAATATGTCTCAGCCCAGGTTTCTTCTATAAAACAGGGGCTGTGTATGTGTCAGAATAATACAGCATCACTTCACGGACCTAATGGAAACAACAGGCCTAGGCCTTGAACTTGAACCCTGAATTTTCTTTGGCTACATAGCTGTGGTGATTGTTGTCACCTGCCCTTCCAGTACCAAACCCCTAACTCCAAATTGTGGGGGTGACTGACCAGATGTGCCAGATGAGTGTGAAAATGAGCTGAGAGGTGTGGTGCCAAGACCAGCCCCAAAGTGACTGACTGCTTCCTGGTTTGCCCTATCACACTGTCAGTGGGGAGCTATGAGCAGAGTACTGCTCAGGGTGGGTGGGGAAGACTCAGCTGCCACCCTTTTAGGAGGAGGGACAGAGACCTGTAAACATCCTGAGCATAATTGTAGAGGTATGCTGAGGAGGTGATCTGTTTGACCACTGGGTCTCAGAACAAGTGTTTTGCTAGCCCTGGAGATACAGTATCCACTTTACTCTCCTCCTGCACTAACACTTATGTTTATTATTTTTGTATACTCTTTGGCAGTAAAAGCAACAATCAATAACAGCTGGAAGGCAGGTAAACAGAGAAGAGCATTCCAGCTGTAATGGGAGTAGATGTATGGCAGAGAGGCCTGATTTAAGGAAGTAGGTGCTTCCCCTTGCTGTGAGGCGCCTCCCTTCAGATTCCACAGTGAAGGTCCAACAGGCCAGGTTTTCAGAGAACAGGAGCCTCAGGATGGGCACTGGCTAAAACAGAACAAAAACAGAGGTGGCCTTTGAGGCTGTCCCCTCCCCAGCCCACTGCCCAGGCAGAGCCACCTGCATCTCCGCAGAGCAAGCCCAGAGCCCAGGGAGGCTTCCACCCACCCAGCCTGGTCTCTTTCCAGCTGGCTTTAGCATTAGTGTCCCCTCCAGGCTACTTAGAGTCTTTCCCATTCTATTATCGACCAGTTAGCTATTTTTATTTTGCCCTCTTAGGACTATCTGTCCTCAGCAGCTATCTACATCAGCACTGGGTCCAATGACAGAAACCAACAATGGGGAAGAAAAAAAAAAATAAACCTTTTGGATACCTAGCTTAAAAGTGGAAGGAAAGGTGAGGGTCAGGTGGGAAAATCAGTCTTTGCTTAAGTTTGTTTAATTTCATCGATCCATGATGATATTCACATCTGAGCTTAATTGAGTAAATTCAACAAAGTAAAGAAATGAAATTCCTGTTTGCCCTGTTGGCTTTAACAGAGAAGCCAGGACCCCCTTAGTAAAAGGTGATACAATATGATGTAGAAAGCATACGGGGAGGTGTTTGAGGCTCCCTGGAGTCCAGGTCCATTTACTGCCAGCTTGATGCCCTTGGTTAGTATGCTTAGCCATTCCACAGCTACAGAGCTGAAAAAAATCTCTCCAATAGTGTTGTGAGAGCACCACAGGATGGAGGCCTATCAGTAAGAGGAGTCAGGAAGCCTGAATGCTGCAGGTGTGATTCTTAGGAGCCCACCGTGGGGAGAATGGCAGAAAGTGACATGCAAGAGAGAGATCTTTCTCCTCTAGGGGTGCAGGCCTGTTTCTCTAACTTAGAGTAGAAGCCAATACCTTCATGTGTAAGGAGTTTGGGGTAGCTCTCTGTCAGGGGTTCTGATACCATGAGCACCTCCAAGCCCTCCACTCACACATCCTTGAACCTGACAGATTCTTTCCGGGTTTAGTCTTGTGGCAGCAGGTCTGTTTCCTATGTTTCAGTCCCCTGCTTTCTGGTCCTGTGCAGGGAGATGGCCTTAAAGTTTTATTGCCTTTTCCTTTGTACCTGGCAAAATGCTGTCACCGAGGGCTGAAGACAAACTAGCTCCTGAATTAGTAACCCTGGACCTCCTGCTCTTCACCCTAGGCTGAAATCCTCCCAGGCTGGATGCTTAACCATCTTCAGCCTCCAAGATGGGGAGCTCTTGCAGAGAAGTTGCCCATCTGCAGGTGGAACTCACCACCTAAAGCCTGCCATGGTGGCCTGCCACTGGGTCTCCAGGGGATCGTGAGCCCTTGGACACCAGAGCCTGTGGGGGAACAGTAAGACATGCTGTCAAGGTGGCACAGGCCATCAGTATTATGTGCAGTTCCCTGCTCACCTGCTCTCTGTAATAACCCTCAACATATGCAGACGATATCCAGGCTTTAATTATTTTGAGAAGGGGCTACTATTCCCTTCCAGAGGCACAGAACAAGCTGGCATGTTGCCTTGGCTCAAACCCTAACTTAGGTCATCCCACCAAATGGGGATATGAGGGCCTGGAGTCATGATTTCTACATGACACAGACATAGCAGGAGTGGAAACATAGGAAAAGATGGGAACATCAGAACTGTGGGTCCAGGATGTGCCTTTGACAGGATGTGCCTTTGCCAGAGCAGCAAAGGTGAGGAAGCGTGTGTGTGTGTGTGTGTGTGTGTGTGTGTGTGTGTGTGTGTGTGTATTCACTGGCCAGGCCAAGAGGCTCCTGGGGCTGTGGCCTGGGACAAATTGTTTTCCTTTGGGACAGGAGCATGGGAGTCAGGCTGTCCCCCCATGTCCACCCATCCCCGGGGGTTGTGGGCACACTGCAGGGCTAGTTTGGCCAGACTGTGTGGCCTGGGGGCTCTGGGACATTTTTGAATGCTGAGTGAGATGATGCCTGACCCTAGGAAAGAGCTCAATAAACAGAATCTGAGCAGATGATGATGGAAATGAGCAACTCGAGTTTGGGGAGTGCACTCTCAAATTTCCTGAGCTCCGCTGTGTCTTGCCTTCTAACTTTAGGCACCATCTTCTTGATGTTTCTTGCAGAGGCGCAAAGTGAGTAGAGGATGCTGAGGAAGGAAAGGAAGCTGACTAGGGAACATCACAAGGCACTAAGCAAGGCCACATCTTAACCCCTAGGACCAGCCCAGTGAGGGGAGAGAAGGAGGTGCAGGGTGCAGGCAGACCTGGTGGAGGCCGAGCACAGAGGGGCTCATGTTACAAAGGCTGGGTGAGCTGGGAGAGCTGGGAGAGGGGAAGCCCTGAAGACCTGTGAGAGCTGAGCACCAGCCAGCCAGGAAAGCCTGTCGGGAAACCCTGCGGGGACTCGCTGCACCAGGGCTGCAGGGCTGTGAGAGCCAAGAGGAGCCAAGTGGGCTGGCGGGCCCCAGGACCCTGCTCCCTCTCCTCTCTGCTGCCCTCCTCCCGGGGTGCAGTGCAGCACCCTGTTCCCGGAGACTACCCAGTGCACACCCTCCCCACAGACTACAGCAGAAAGCTTTTTCTTCTGCCTCCCCAAACACAGAGAACTTTTTTTATTTTAAGAGATTAACTATAGAAAAACAAGGAAAGGCAACAAGCACTTGCATATCTTCTTTTACATATATATATTTTTAATTTATATAGTATTTATATATATGTATTTACAAGTAAATAGATATACATTTTTAAAAGAGTTATTGATTTATGCATATAGAACTGGGGTACAGGCCAGAGGTGCAGGGGTGATGAGAGGATTCACCAGACTAAGTGGGGAGCAGGACAGGCAGATCAATGAAGTATATTGCTGAGGGGTGCAGCGGGCGGGTCAGGAGAGGTCTGCCAGGCTATATGGGTCACCTCGGGGGCTGGGATCGAACTCATGCTGAAGTGGCTGTAGCTTCTTAGTGCTGTGCT